GACCATGCACACAGTATACTTTAATCACTTCCTCCCCACCACTCCCATTGACCTATCTTAGTTTTTTTCAGTACTAGAGATTTGGGGATTGAATCCAAGACCTTCACATTAATCTACATTCCCAGCCCTTTATGAATTTCTCATTTTGAATCAGGATTTCACTAAATCCAAGTTGTCCAGGCTGGGCTCAAACTTGTGATCTTCCTTCTTCAGCTTCCCAGAGTCCTGGGTTTATAAGCAGCTTCCATTTTTTTAAAAAGCTGCATACATGAGTCTAATGCACAGCTATGGTTTAGAAACCCTGCCTCACAGAATGAGTGCCCCTTACAAGGAGCTGTGCCCAAAGTAGTTTCTCACCTGCAGGCATCCTTATGTACCAAACCAGCCAGGAGAAAACAAGTGTCATGACAGCAGGACATTTCTAGGATTGATCCTGGGGGCCTCCAGAGTATGGGATTAAAATATATTTACCTTGAAACTATGGAAGTGAGGACTAGAAGAAAAAGTACATGTTTCTAAGAGAAGAAGAGAGACACAGAGCAAAGCTACAATTATGGGTTGGTGGCCCTCTCCATAGTGTGATTTCTAAGGGCCCACTGGCTTGAAATCCCATTATGAAAATTCCATCCTTTGATTAAGTCTTTGTTCCTTGTTTAAATGGACATACCTGTGAATCACATCTGATGGGGAGTATCATAGCTCCACCTGAGAACACAGTGTGATGAGGTGTGGGTAAGATCTTGAAAAAGCGGGTGGAAGGGGGAAGAGGTGCTGCCAAAGAAGGACTCGCACTTACAGAGCATTTTGCAGGCAGTGGCAGCTGGATTCTATTGTTTAAGGGAAAACTACTCAGAACTATAATGGATAAACGTCCTATCCTTTTCCTCTGCCTGTTGTGCTGAGGAGCTCCCACTTCACTCACTCCTGCTTGAGCTGCTAGCTCCTAAAGGGGGAAGAAAGCAGCAGAGAAGCCATCTCCTTATGGAGGTGATGGCTTTCTGGTCTAGGCTGGCCCTGAGAGGCATGGCTTGGAGATGCAGCTGGAGATTTTCCTCTGGCTCTCTGTGTGGCCTCCAGCCAGTCTCCACACAGCTTTAGTTTCCTTGTATGTCAAACCAAGATAAATACCTCCTTTCCCACTTCTCTAGGGCATTGAGGGGCATCCCTTCTGCCACTTCCATTAACTTTGTCCAAGGACTATAGGAAGACAGCTTTAAGATGAATTATTTTTGTTCTCAGCATGTCTTTATGATACCACGGCTTCCATTAGTCTGGGGGAGGGTGGGATGGTAGAAACCTCCTCACTGCATCCTCACTCTGAGGGGCAATGTTTTCAGTGGAAGAGAGTCTCCAAAGGGGGTTTGGGGTTGGGGTGCAAGAGAGAGAAGTCTTCAATTGGTACCAGATGTCATCAGAAGCTAACGATCTGACAAACACCGTCCTCATAAAACAAATTCCTTAAAAAGGAAGCAAATGGAAATATAAGCTAGTGAAAGAATTTGCAGCAGCTGCCCTAAAACCATTTCTCACTTCATAAACAGGTCTAGGTTTGGTCCTTTTTTCATTTTTCTTTTTTCTGGTCTTGGTCTTATTTTGGGCCACTTTCCCCTCCGGTGTGCTCCCTGTCTTGCTCTTCCTGCCCTGCTCCTCTGGGGCCCACCCTGGAGTAAGGCAGCTGTGCTTTCTGAAGTTTGGCCCATCTTAGTGGAAGAAGGCTCACTTAATTATTTGTTTTCTGTCCTGTCTCAGCCTGTGTTTGTCCTCAGTGACGTGAATTACTTGGATAAAGTCACTGAAAATAGCATGTAGTCTTTCACATTAATTTTTTGGCAATCAGCTCACAGAAACCAAGGCGTTAATAGAGCTTGGAGTTCTTTAGCATCACTCGAGAGGTATCCTCATCTCATTCCATAAAAGATGGTCAGGCTTTAGCGCTTTTATTCAAATATTAAATAAAGACTCAGAGACAAAGATTTTTTTGTTATATTGTATGCCCAACAACCACCCTTGGATTTGGGGAACTCACGTTCTCAATAACAATTCCCCCTCCCTCAGTGCATTCATCTGTCCCTTCATCAGGTCCCATGGTGGACAGCACATCATCACAGGGAATAATCAAGGAATAAAGGAGCAAAAGTTTCTTTTACATTACTCACCTCCTGTTCCCCCATCATATACCTAGCAAGAATAAAAGAAATGAGAATAAAAGAATGAATAAAAGAAATGAGAATGTCACTGGCATAGGATTTAAATCCCGTGGGTATAAGGTTAGGGGCAACCAATTTATCACAGTCAGATCCAATCAGGTCTTCTTTGGCTACTGCATTTTTTCATCAGTTCTCAATTATATAGGTGCATATTCAATGATATTTTACTTTCCACTTTCTTCTATGTTTGCCCAGCTCTCTGATATAATCATTCACTACTGACACAAATCCAAGAGCAAATAGAGGACACTATGGGTGAGATTCACTAGTCACTTTGGCTAGTAATTAGCACTACCGACAACAACATACAGAGCAAGCAAACATCTTGTCAGAAAACATCTTACTAGGGTCTCCCTCCATCTTCCCCCATAGTTTAGGTGCCTTAAGGGAATGGTCCTTGTTAAACCAGTGTTCAGAACAATGCCTTGTAAGAGTAAGTGCTTAGTAAATGTTTACCGATGAATGAATGAATAAATGGGGCAAGACGGTAGAATCATTGCTGGATAATGTTTTTGTATTTCAGATCCCTATCTGTCACCATATAATTTAGAAAATTTCCCACTTTGATAGTCATTCTCTTACTTTCCTGTCTGCAGTATGAAATTTTGTTCAATGTGTTTTTATTGTGCCTACTATATATAGCAAAGTGTAGGGAGACTATAAAAGTGGGTGAGAGGTAGTATTTCTCTTTGAGAAGTTAATACTTTAGTATTAACTCAAGTTAATAGTCAATTACTAATTGAACTTGGATAAAGAGGTAAACACACATTATTTTAAGAACAAGAAAACACATGCAGAGTACAAGATAGAGCAAAAGAAATGTTAGAAGGAAGTTATTTTTACAATTTCACTGGGAGGTGTGAAGGAAGAAGATATCCTCAGAGACCTCTTTCAGAAGGAAGGCCTTTTAGAAATCTCAACAAATCAAGTAAAGATACAGAAGAGAGTGATAAAATAGAGTGATCACCAGGAAACACGTCACTGATGTGAGGTTCTGGGCCATCCTCAGTGGAGCAGCAGAGGAAATTAACCTAGGAATAATAATCACATATGTGCCATTACGATACTTACACTGTCTCCCAACAGGCTTATCTGTACAGGGTTTGGACTTTGGGAAGGTGGCTGGATCACGGGGCCCTGTACATCAGAGTATTGATTAATGCACTGAACAGGGTCTGGTCAGAAGAGGTGTGTTACTGCGAGCATGACTTAGAAGGGTATATAGCTTCTTCCCCAACTCTGCCCTTCACTCTCTGCTTTCCAGCTGCTCTGCCATGAGCAGCTTTCTTCTGCTAGGCCCTTCCTGTTTTGGCACCAGCTGACTATAGATTGACTCCGTTGAAAATCAGGAGCCAAACCAACCTCTCCTCCTTGAAGTTGTGGGTGTAAAATATTTTGTACCAGTGACGAGGAAAGTGACTGAGACAGGATTTCATCTTATAGGACAGGGAGCTGAAATGCTAGGAAAGGAGTAATTCATTCTGTATCGTATAAATAGCAAATAGAAGATACAGTATTCAAATTCATTAGTGCTAGCACTAATTTGTAATCTCTATGGTTCAGCCATGGTGGAAGAGCTACATTCTTCTTGCTCCAATGCATCCTTGCTCTTCTATAGGCCCAGGCTGAATCTTCTTGAACCTTGGGGAGTTTATACATCTCTCTTGTTCCTAGTTGGTTGGCCTTATTGATCTAGAAAACAGCTCTCTGCTGTGATGATGTCTGTGCAATGTCAGACATTTCATAGACATTCAGGGTGTATGAATTTCTCTTCCTTTCATGGGCCCAATTTATAGTTAATGTTGCTGATATCCAGTGATGAGTGATGCTTTAGCTGCACCAGTAGTCAAAATATTCCCATATGACTTGGTAAAAAGATGGTACCTTTTCTGTTGTCTCATACGGCCAAGACCTTTATTCAGTACCCCTAAGGACTTCTCTGTGATCAAACATCTAGCAGCTGATGCTTGATGCAACCAGGGGTCTCTAAGATTCACTCCTGAGCTTTGTTCTGAATCTGTTCAGATTGTTTGGGACCCAGCAGGGCTGGTTGCCCAGTATTTCAAGCCTTATCCCCTGATCTGTTCATTTCTGATATCATTCAGGACTCCTGGGATCTGTTCTCCACCTTACCCCATCACCAGTGATTCTCCTGGAGGAGTCATGCAAAGTTGGTTAATTATTACTCAATAGTTGATATTGCTTATGTTCACCATGTGCCATCATTCTAGGAAATACTCAAAGTGATGTGTTAAATGTAGATTTTGAAAACAAACGATTCTCGCTAATTGAGTGTATTTCCTAGAGGGAGCTGTAAAGTCACTGCTGCTATTGTTTTTGAGCCAGTCCTGAGATGCTTAGTTACATTTTTCATTTCTGGGATAAAATACTCAACACTCACAAATTAAAAAATGAAAGATTTATTTTAGCTCACATTTTGTAGAGGTTCAGTCCATAGTTGGTTGGTTCCGAGACAGAGCAGCATGGCAAAAGAATGTGGCAGAGGAGAAACAGTTCATCATGGCAGGCAGGAAACAGGGAGACATCCTTCTTCTTTCCTTTTTTATTCTATCCAGGCTATTGGTTGTTGCTACCCACGTCCAGGGTAAGTCTTTCCTCTTCAATAAATCTGTCATGAACACTCACAACTGCGCTAAACCAATCAGTGGTCTAAGCCAGTATCACACGTCCATGACCCAGTCACCTCCCAAAACCCCACCAACAAGCACACTAGGCTTTTGGGGGACATTGAGATGTAAGCCATAACAGATGCTTCTGTTTTGTTATCTCCAGCTGTGTCCAGAGGCCCTGCGGGAAGCCGATCAACTGTGTGCCACTGATGCTTGAACACACGGACATGGTGAACTGTACCTCTAGCAGCCCAGGTCACATGAAGTGTGCTATCACCTGTCAAAGGGGATTTGCCCTTCAGACCAGCAGTGGGCAGTACCTCAGGCCCATTCAGGTGAGTTGGAAGCCCATACTCACCAAAACCAAGCTTCTGGGGCATGAAGCCACCCTTCTCCTGGCTTCACTGGGGAAGGGCAGGTGTTTATAAGCCATTCAAAAGGGGAAAATTAAGGCTGTAACATGAAAAAAGAAGCATGGTTTAATAAAAATATAAGGTATTAAAGGATGTGCAAGTCTATTTATTAGGGTGAGAATTTGCTCTGTAGGTGGGCAGTAGATATGAATGCTTATTCTGTTCTCCTTTGTTTTTGTCTTCCTGCCAGAAATGATGTCCCCCACTTTTAACTTTGAGATGAGAATGCAACCCATTCATAATTTGCAGGCAAGATATATTGTAATCAATGTATCTGTGATTCCTTACAAGAATGTTAGAGAAATACAGTTTGATTTCACCCCAAAGTATTAAATCTATTACTGAGGCAGAGTTTCTATCATGATACTAGCTTTGGCTGAATTGTCTACATTTCTACATTCTACAAGCCTCATTCCAAATTGCTATAACACCATTTCCAAGACTTCAATGTAGTTTCAAGATAATAGAATATATTGGGTAAGATCATGTTTCAAGGGACAGATTTGAATGAAATTTCAACTCTTCTATGTGCTAGGCATATAACTTTAGGTAAAAACACATGAAAGAAACTCTTTAAGCTTGTTTCCTCATTTGTAAAATAAGTGAAACACAAGTACTCATTTCATTGTGTTGTAAAGATGACTGGCTAGAAACAATTTAAAAGCTTCTTGTAAAATGATAGGCACATGACACTGTGATAAGCTGCATTATTATCAACATAATAACGTTCCCCTATGACTTTGTTCTCCAATTTTGTTTAAGTGAGATTGCAACACTCTACAAAGGAATTAAAAACATGAAACCAACCTTTAGAAAACATGACCACATTTTGAGATGAAAAGGAAGGCACTAGGCAAAAGATAATAGGGTTTAAGGAGAGAACTGTGAAGATGTATTATCAGAGAAGAGTTAATGTGTGTTTATTAGTCAGACATAAACGGTTTGGAAGATTAGACTTTTTTAAAAATAATTTTGTGCCAATTGTTTGCTTAACAGGTTGTGAACATGTGAAAATATTTCACTTGGCTAAAAATGGTTAGAAAGACACAACCTTGAGTTTCAGAGAACCTAAATTCTGCCTAGAAATAGCTTTACTGTCTTTTAAAGAACTAACTTATTGGTCTAGGGTACTTTAGTTAGAAAAGCAGAGCTCTTGTAACCTGTTGTTCTTAGCTCATTTTAACTCAGGCAAAGTATGTGCACATTAAAATAAGGTAGAAAGGGGGGTGGGGATTTAGCTCAGCGGCAAAAGCATCTGCCTGGCATGCGCAAGGTCGTGAGTTTGGTTCCCGGTACCGGAAAAAAACCAAAAAAAAAAAAAATAAAAATAAAAAGAAAAAAATAAAATAAGGTAGAAAGAATAAAAAAGAACAGAGAAGGTAGGAACTAAATAGGCTTGCATGACATGTAAAGCAAAGACAAACAAACACGGTGTTTACAATGCATTAAGATTTGGAGCAACTTGAGACAAAATGAATAACACCTGACAAAGCCAGGAGGAAAACCAGGCAGTGTATGCAAAATTTGAGAGACATTTTTTAAGTGATTAGTGGCTTGTGCTTTGAGCCAGACTTCTGTTGTGCTGGTGTGTACCAGGCAGGGTCTGGTTGGGAGGAGAAGATAGGAGCTCGCTCTTTGCCAACCATATGGCAGGTTCAGCCACAGAGCTCTGCAGCTGACTGACCACTCCTGTCACCCGAGGCTGGCCTCATGAAGGACATGATACAAGTCCGGCTCATGATCACAAGACAGTGGGGATATTTGCTTGTTGTTGACACAAGAACTGAAGCTAAGTAGAAAAATGTGTCTGGATTTGACTTGGATCCTTCTGGCAGGCAGCAGGGAAACACTGGGAAGCAAGGATAAGCTGCAGCCAGAAGCTGGTGTCAGGGTGGCAGGTGCCTTCAGCAGGCATCTGACCTTGACTTTGGTGCCGTGCTGGTCTCTGAAGTAATCCTCTCTTTCTCTGACCTTGAACCCAGTACTAGAGTGACTGCTGTGTTTTTCCCAAACAAGCCATGAGCTCCAAGTTTTCTCAGTCTTATTCTATCCCCAGCCTAGACACCTTCTTCTCCCACCTCCCATGAGTTGCTGTGAAGTGCTGACCCTCTTGCAAGGCTAATCCCTCTGTTACACCCTCCCCTCAAGTGCTCCTCCTTCCAGCCCAGGGCAGGCAGCCCTTCCTCCAGTTCCCATAGAGCTGCCCACCTCCATCCACATGGCAATGCAAGATGTGGCTTTACCTTCAAGCATTTATATTTTTTCTCCCTGGATTCCAGTTTTCTCCATCATCTTCTTTATTGTTGACATTCTTTACATTATGTTCTGTCCAATAATTATAGAAAGAGAAAGAAATTTTTTAAAACAACAAAATATATGCCTTACATTTTTTTTGACACACACAGAGAGAGAGAGAGAGAGAGAGAGAGAGAGAGAGAGAGAGAGAGAGAGAGAGGGAGAGAGAGAGACAGAGAAACTCATTAGGTTTAGGTTGGCCTCAAACTCACAGTCCTCCTGCCTCAGCCCTCAAGTGCTGCAATGACAGATGAACACCATGTCTGACTCGGATTTCCTTCTTTACTTCCTTTATGCCTTCTCTCTTTTTCTCCTTCTTTCCATTAGCTTCCTTTAGACATTTTTCTTAGCAACTGTTTCAGTGTGTAATTTGCTCCTTTAGTAGATATTCAGCTCCCTGAGGACATCTTGTTTAGTAGAGGACCTGGCTTTTCCAGGTACTCAACAAGCACCTCTTCATTTCGTTAGTAGCATCCAGCTACCCATTTGACCACAGGCTGCCCATTTAACCACAGGGCATGGAACATACCTGCACGTATTAACTCTCACCTGTTTTTAGACACTAGGCACCTTTCTCAGTGGAGATGATTATTTTCAGTAGCCTTATCAAGTTGGCATAATAAGAGTGCTTATAGGAAACAGATGACATGCCCAAGAGTGGGTAGTTCACAAACATGTAATAAAGGCGTGTGGTATCCCGGGATGAAGGGGCTTGACTATCACCCTTCAGCCTGAAATGTTGGCTGTAGGGAGCAGCAGAAGCAATGGTGTGAAGGAGCAGAAGGCTTAGGAAGGCAGCCATGGGAGGAACTGACCTGCTGTGGAAGACATGAAAAGAATAAGTCCTCAGGTTGCCCTCATCTGTTTCTCTCTCTTATCAATCTTGTGCTACTGTGTCCCAAGGCAGAATGAAATCACAAGTCAAAGGCACTTGGCCCACAGGGATCAGGATCCTTGGATACAGGGCAGAGAGGAGCAGAGAACAGACCTGGACCAGCCAGGGGAGGACATTGCTATTTAATGGTTCCCTTTCAGTCACAGGCTCTTTCATTAGTGTCATACCTGGGTATTTTACATTCAAACCGTGAGGCGTGAACAGGGAGGAAGGCACAAGAGCTTTTCTGAATTAAATGTTTGCACAAATGACTACCAAGACTCTTCCAAAGCCCCGAACCCCTTCCAATAGCCTATGCATATGACATTGATGGAAGCACATTGTCTATTTCTAGAAGGAGATTCTGCTCACGTGTTCTGGTGGGCTCTGGGACCGGGACGTGGGCTGCGTGCCTCTTGACTGTGGCATCCCTGACCCATCTTTGGTGACCTACGCAAACTTCTCCTGCTCAGAAGGCACCGACTTCCTGAAACGCTGCTCCATCTCTTGTTTGCCACCAGCCAAGCTTCAAGGTATTGTCTGGCCAGCCAGATACTTACCCATGTTCTCTTCGAGGAGCTTTAGAGTGCTTTTCTTCACCCCACACCCTTCCCGTTTGCTCCATCATGATACTGGAGTAAAGTCCCAAATGGCGACAGCATTCTTTGGGCCTGATTACCTGGAAGGATTTCCTGGCTCAGCCTCTCGTTCATGGAAGAAGTTTAGGTTTTTCTTTGTTTTTGTTTGATTGTGTGCCTCTCCGCTGCCAAGTCAAACCAATTGGCACAGTGGTTTTGACAATATTAATAAACAAGGTATACTTTATTACGTGCATTTTAACATTTAGTTTTTACAGCCTTTCTGTGAGTTAGTTGTGCTTTGTTCTGTATTACAGATAAGAAGAACAGAGTTACATCAGTTGCCCGTGGCTGTAATGTTAGAGATGAAGAAGGGGTACAATCTGGTGTAACTGACGCTGATACTTTGCTCTTTACCTTAGCAAGCTTCTCAGGCTTTGGTATATGTAACACTCACTATAACTGTGGATTTACCAGCGTTACTCTGAGAAATTCTACTTTACTAGGTCTAGTATGGACTCGTGCTGCCTTTGTGAGTAGGTTCATGGATTGCACTTGGATTGCACTTGGAGAAGTCAAGTGTTACACTGAGGCCCAGGATGTGATATTTTAGCAGCATTCTGAATGCAAATGGCCTGGGTTCAAATCTTAATTCTGCTCTATTAGGGCTGGGCAAATTACTGAACCTCAGTTTATTCATCTGCCCAATGAAGAATCTGTTTCATAAGATGGTTTGTGATTTGGAATTTACAAAAGTTAATACACATAAAATGCTTTAAACAGTGCCTGGCACGTAGTAACTATGACAAAAATGTCATACATTATTATTTTAATGCTGTCTGTGTTATTACCACTGCTACATTTTTATTATTTGTGAGTAGGAAGGAAGGTATTGATTTAGTAAATAATTCGTCTAAAGCTAATTTATCTGGCCTCTGTCCTATGTGATACCACAATGGATGCTCTATGGGTAACAAGATACAGGATGAACATTTGATGTGAGATTTTTAGACACTGCTCAAAAAAGGGCAATGTGGCTTTTGAAGAATTTTAATGCTCCAACAGATTTTCATGCTTTTTACTGTTACTGTGACTCTGCCTTCTGAGCACCCTGTGTTTCTCTTTCTTGGAGTCAGGACTGAGCCCATGGCTGACCTGCCTTGAAGATGGGATATGGTCACTTCCTGAAGTCTACTGCAAGGTGGAATGTGAAGCTCCCCCTGTCATTCCAAATTCCAACTTGCTCCTGCCTCACTGTGTCCGGGGTAACCATGATGTCGGCACCGTCTGCAGATATGAATGCAAGCCGGGCTACTATGCGGTGGAAAGGACAGGGAGGAAAGTTAGGAAGTAAGTGCAGTGTTCTTGGTCTTCACTGTCTTACCGCCTTCAAACCTGTCTCCTATTCCCTCATTTGTAAATCCCAGATCATCCCTTGGGAAACAGTGGGAAGATCTTTTGAGATACCTACTCCTCGTTGTATGTGCTTTTATGTATAGCCTCTCTTCACCTGCACGGATATATTCTCCAGTCTTGACAGGCAAGTGACATTGTTTCTTTAATTTAAAGACATTCTTTTCCTTTGGAGTTTCCATAATTTCACTTATATAGTTTTTAAAAGAATTTCTGTCCTGATTGTTATTTTCTTTGTACTTCATTGTCAGGAGCTGCCAGGCATTATACAGGCCGCTTGACGCCAGCTCTACGCTGCCACACCCTCATCTGTTCAACTTCTAATTGTGGCTTGCGCAGAAACTCCCTGGCATAGTTCCTAGTCCAAACATTAGATAGATGTGTGACAGTGGGAATGCTTCATTCTCTCTCTCAGTTTTCTCATCTGTAAAAAGGAGACAATGATAATAATAGCTACCTAAAAGGGTTGATGTAGGCATTAATTGAATTAACAGTGTGCTAATTTTTGAAACATAAAACACAACACACTATAACTATTGATTTTCTTTCATAATCTTTCTGCTTTTTCCTCCCTGAATTTGATGGATACACAATCATAGAGTCATACCTGGAAATGCCTTCCTTCTGAAGGCATGAGGAATGAGAAAGGCAAATACTTTACATTATGGCATAATTTACAATAATAGGCTCACAAGGGGGTCTACCTAGGATTCAAATGCTGGTCTTTCTTTACCAGCTGAGTAACCTCAGGTAAGTGACTGAATGCTTTGTGTCTTGGTCTCCTTTGTAAATCAAGGCAAATGCCCTTTGAGCAAGGGGTGAGCTGAGAGCTGAAGGAGAGAGCAGATACCCAGTGCAGTGCTGGCTTGTGCCAAAAACTCAATGGATGCTTTCAGGAAAGAAAACCTTATGAACAAACAAACAAGCTTTTCAAAAAAAGAGAAACTCTTTGTATTTAGTGGTGCTCTTTCCATACTTTATATAGATATAGGACAAAATTAAATCTGTTTCTTCCCCAGGACTTAGTTCAAAGCTTGAGCATAGGTATTCTGTTTGAAGATATTTTTAACTAACAAAATCCAAGCCATGGCCTTACCAATGTGGCTGCAGATATAAGCTGTGCTTCTACACTAGACTTCTCTAAGAGCACAGAATAAAGTCAGGAATCTTATCCTTTAGCTCACATCCACCCTTGGTGTAGTTGATCCCAACCACGTTAACATGGAACTTGTAGAGCCTTGGCCTGGTCCATGAGAGGAGAAGAACAACCCCCCTTCCTGCCATCTCAAACAGAGGGAAGAGCCATGCTGATCAGAATATGAATGATAACGATGAAAAACTCATAGCAGGTGGACTCTTTGCTTCAGCAGACCCTATAAAGTGCACTGAAGAGTTTTTGACAATGGAGAGCACACTGCATGTGATTTTCACAGGGTCTAGGTGTAATTTGCATGGGTGCACACTGACAGATGGCAAGTGCCCAGCTATCTTCAAGTGCGGATGTTATGTAGGTCACCTGGAGGCTGCTGTTTCTTGCTTTCTCCCCAACTTTTCTGGCCTGCCTTTTTATGCACCAGGATTCACTTTGGATATCTGCAGAGCTGAGCAGTGAAAAATAATCGAGGGAGACAGAAATGCATCAGGCCGTGAAAGAATTAAGGGTGGAGAGCTGACTGCCAGTTCTCTGGGCCTAAGGCTGATCTTCTTGGTGGGGAAAATGAGGTTTCCTTCCAGAACTCTGGGTTTGCTGTCTCAGCCTTGTAACTCTGCCCCAAGGCAGGGGCACTTGAGAGCCATGTGTGGACCCAGCTTTTCTGGCTGAGAAATTGGATGCTTGCATCACAAAGTCAGCAACAGTTTTGGCTTAAACATTTACATTCGCAAGCACCGTGCTAAGGAGAGATTAAATTATTTACTGCCTTGTGTAAACTGATTAAATCTTCATTTACACCTGTTTACATAGCAGGCGACGATTGGTAATCAGAGGTTTGCAAGGTAGGCGTAAATCACTGTCACTTAACACTTGTGTTTATCCAATGAAATATGTCAGCCTTGTTCCTCCCTGGAAAAAGCCCAGAGTTGTACAAACGGGGCCCTAAAATTCTTCCTAGGACATGCACATATGAAGAGAGGAAACTGAGACAATCAGGCAGGGAAATCAACCTGGAAAGAGCAGGCACATGATAATTTATGCAGTTGTACAGTGTGTCATAGGGTGAGAAACAAATACTTGATGGTTAGAGCTGCGATTTGAGCAATACATTCAACATCCATGGGCATGAGGTTTTTCATCTGTCATATAAAGGCTAGTAATTATTTGTATCCAACAGCATTCTTTTGAGGCTGAAAGTTGGGTAATGTACTAAAACATTTTATAAATTGTAAGGTCAGTGCATGTGCCACACTAGGTATTACTGCTTGCTCATTTCTTTTTAAAAGAAGAAGGTAACTACCAAAATATCAGTCAAATGCATTCTTTTCCTGCTTCTTCCAAGCTCCACTGTAGGGGAAGTACTAGACTTGACTTTCCCTGAGATCCCTATGCCACCTTTGTCCCATTCCACCTAGAAGTAGCAGGGAAGGCTCATTTATCACGTGCAAACTCCTTACCAGGCTCTTATTCCTGGATCAAGAACAAGAAAGACACAGGAATGAGACCTAGGCAGTCATGTCTCAGAACTGGAGGCAAGTTCTGTTTTTTTTATACCATGGTGGTTTTAATCTCCTTGAAAGTCTTCTTCCTTGGTTCTGTTCCATTTCGTGCCCCAATTTTCCTTCTTTCTCTCTGTCTCTTCTCAATTTTCTTTTCTACCCTTTTCCCTCTACCCACCGCATTTGTGTTGGTGTTTCTGAGTTTTTTTCTATCTTGATCTACACATTTGTCCAGGATGAAGCACCTTTAGGCCATAGCTTTAATTATTGCTCACATGGCGATGACTCCTAAATCCATACCTGCCACTGTAGACTTTTCCCTTAAGTGCTATGAAGGTCTTAAGGCCAAATGCCTACAGTTATCTTATCTGCATCTCAAGCTCTTCACTGTGCAGAGAAGTTCATAAACATTCCTTTCAGGTCGGAGCATCTCTTTGCAACAAAAAATAAAAAAATCTTTAAAAGAACTCAAATTCAATTATAATATTTTCCTACATAAAACTGAATGACGAGTCTTTCTTCAGCTACAGGGATAAAGCAGCTTAAGTCAAAATATTTTCAGGGTCTTGTAGGATCTACCTTGTCCTTTATTTCTCAAGCTTTGGTCCCTACTCTCTTTCCCAGGAGACCACTTCTCCCCATTTACACACCTGCTGTAACACATGGAACTCATGGCTAGCATGCCTCTGTACCTTCACACATGCTGTTCCTTCTGCCCAGAGCTTTTCTTCAATCTTTCTTTCAGCCAATTCTTATTCTCCTGTGTTTAGCATAGGCATGATTTTTCATTCAGGAAGCCCACCAAATCTCCCCAGATTGCAGGAAAAGTTACTCCCTTGCATAGAATAACATCATCTGCTCCCTTGACCACCAGTAATCCAATTTCTTGCCTATGTTCTCCAATAGAGCATATATATCTTGCTTAGCATTTTGTGTATAGTGGCAAGTGCATTGACTTGCAGGTGCTCCAGACTTTCTGAATTGAGGAAAGCATGATAGGATATTGATATTAAGGTTGATGCTAAAAAATATGGCAAAGGAAAGAGGTGTTTCTTATTGGATGATAGAGATCTTTAAGTATTTTAGTGAGGAAGAAAACTAAAAATATTCGTGTATGTTTTTAACAATTTTCTCTGCCACATAGAAGGAATGGTCAATTCTCCAAGGACAGCTCTAACTTTATTTACTCATCAGACATTTACACTTGATTAGCACAACTCTATACAAGTTACTGGTAATGAAAAAAAGGTGGACATCTCAACAAGCTCACTGGAACAGTGCTTCTCATATTTGGCAGCACGTAGAATCACCAAGGGAGATTATAAAGTCCTACTGTCCATGTCATACCACAACCAATTACAGACAGTCTCTGACTTACCATGGCTCCACTTAAGATTTTTTGACTTTCCTGCAGTGCAAAAGTGGTATGTATTTAACAGAGACTCTATTTCAAATTTTGAATTTTACTTTTTTCCTGGGCTAATATTATATGTATCCTCTCCACAGTATACTCTATTGACAAACTATGATATCCAGTAAATTAGGTATGTTACATGCTGTTCTGACCTGCAACAGTTTCAGTTTATGAAGGGCTTATGGGGATGCAACCCTACTGGAAGTCAAGGGACGTTTGTACACCAGCATCTCTGAGGTGGGAGCCTAGATACTCTTATTTGAAACAGCTACCCACGTTCTTACAGTATGCAGCCAAGGTCAAGAGCTAGATCAGTGGGACCCTTGGTCTTGTTTAAACAATATCACTATGAGATTTGGCTCTTTTAATAAAGAAAAAAACCCAGTAAACTATCTTTCAAAATTAGTACATTAGCTTTTTGTGTAGCAGAGTTTTACATGTCACTCTGACGATCATTCATTTTTGAAGGTACTAGAGAAAATATGAGAAGTGTAACTTGAAAGAAGCGACAACATTTCTAATTTCAAGAACTCTTTCCTCTTCACAATGTCTGATAAGCACAAACTTTCCTGAGGAAAAGCCCTTTGCTTTTTCTTCTACACAACTTGCTTCCCAAACAGATCATCATTAATCATTTCTTTGTTGTTTCATTAACTTGACTTCCTAGGAAGCTCAAATAAATGCGTTTGACTTCTATTTTATCAAAAAGACCATATTACCCTCTGCCTTATCTTTCAGTTCCATAGTTGCCTTTTTCTCATTACATGTTATCTTACTGTGTGAAGGTTAGGTTAACCTCATTAGGGCCCAAACTTAATTTAACTTCTAAATTATCCCAGCCTTCTAGGTTTGCTTAGACAATCTTTCCTTT